TAGATTTTGCAAGAATTTGCATAGATTTTGCAAGAATTTTTATGCAAGAATTTGCACAGATTTATCAATTCACACTTTTTTCAAAATACGCGAAGTACATATGTAAAGCTGAGAAACGATAAATTGAACTGTAGTCAAGATTCCATTTTATGTTTTATGCGGTCAGTTCTATATCTGCATGGTAATAATTCTGCCCAGCTATAATGCAAAAAGCAAAAAAAAAGAAAACTCCGGTCATCCAGAAATATTTGTTATAATGTATTTAAATGTTTAGTCGAAGAGAGGAGTTTGAGGCTTTAAATTTTTGTTGTAGCAGGAAACGAAGGATGCGATAGCAGAGTTATTAAGGTTGAAAAAGCAGTACAAGGATGAATTTGGTGAGGAATATACAGCAAGTACTACTAATGTAAATGCTTCCGTTCCGAAGGTATAGCATAGAATTCCTTATTCGAAATTCTTAAACTTTGAACAAACAATTGTTGAGCTTGTTTTGTTTGATTCTTTATGGAAAAATTTTGTTTTTTGTTCTTGTTAAGTTTAAATATCTATTACGTATTAAGCTTCAAATATCTGTTATGTATTAGAGATAATTATTGTTCAGTCTGCGAGCAGGTTGGTGTGTTGATCCTATTTAGCTTTTTGATCTTGAATATAGACTTGGCCAATTTCAAATCGTTTCCATAATTTTCTTCTTGATTGTTAGATAGAATTTGAAGGAAACATGGTGACTTTATTGTTTTTCTTTTCTTCATGTTTAATAAGAATATTTGTTTGAAGCATTTTTATCCTCAACTTGTTTGTTGTTTATATCATTAAGTTGATTTTATATAGCACTGTTGAGTTAAAACTTGCTCCGTTTCCCAAACTTACGAGTCGTTTTTCATGTGTTGCATGCTTTGGAATAAACTTTCTGTGTTTTCTATTCAGCAAGTACATCGTCCACTATATAAAAAGGAAAAAGATAAAAAAAAAAAACTATTTCCATCCACGCAACAACGAAAGACGGTTTTCATGACAATTTTTCTATCGTCTTGAATATTACCTGATCTTACATTTCACTTCAATTAATTCACTTCCACTTCATTAGTTGACATGAAAGTTTCGCCATATTATTACTGGGAATTTTCTTCAGAATCTGTGCTTCTGTCGTCGTAGACTTCCTTCTAGCATATTATTTTGGTTGTTCAAATGTGACCATATATTACTCCCCAAAAACCAAAAAACAATTTTCTATCATTTCCCGGCGATATATTTGTTTGATTGATTGCATTGGCTTCTTTAACTTTTTTATTCTCTAAAATTCACAACAATTTCCTTTTATTGCTGTTATCATTGATTGATTGATACTACAATGAAATATATGTGTATCGGCCAATTTGTTCCTCCAGTCATTCACATTTTTCAGTATTGAAACATCTGAACATTAGTTCTTCCTTTGTTTTGTTTAGGAGGTTGTGGAAAGTCGAAAAGATGAAGGTAAAAAAACGAAGAAGGAAGAAGTCGAATCTAAAATGGCAATGACATCAGTAAGGATGATGGAGACGACAAAGCAAACAAAACTAGGCCTTGATGTTAAAAAAGAAGAAAATTTAGCGGAATGGTATTCGCAGGTTTCTTTTTTCCTTTTTTAATTGAGGAAAATCATTTTGAAATAAAATTGATGAAAACCGTCCGTAGAAATTACAGTCCTAAATTGTCCCATATTTTGCCAATAACAAATTCGGTCCTTAAAGTTGTACTTGAATCAGTTCCTAAATCTTATCAATAACAACTTGAAGTTGTGCTTATTTACCTCGTTTATGTAATATTGATAGTGACATTGATTTTTAGAATTTAGTTATGTGAAATTTTGGCGTCTAAAATTTTGGATCATTTGTTATATACCTTTTCTTTGCTATAAATGCCAAAAAAAAGGAAAAAAAGAGGTGTGGGAAGAGATTTATCGCTTCAAGCTGTATCTTGCTTTTTCATATCTTACTAATCAACAGTATAAATGAATTTACGGTACTATATTAGATTACCACATGGAAAACGGTAATTTAGGCTAAAAAAAAGCATATATTAGCACTAACCCCTTCTAAAATATTTAGATCATAGTAAAAGCGGATATGATCGAATATTACGATGTATCAGGTTGCTATATATTGCGTCCATGGTCATTTGCGATTTGGGAAATAATTAAAAAATGGTTTGATACAGAAATTAAGAAACTTGGCGTACGCAATTGTTATTTTCCAATATTCGTTTCACAGAATGCGTTGCAAAGAGAAAAAGAACATATTGCTGATTTTGCTCCAGAGGTTTGTTACCCTTCAGAATTCGATTGGAGACGATTATGATGCGGGAATAGTAACAACTGAGTGACGTATCGTAGGATGTATTTCTGTAAGTTTCAAATGACCTGAAAAGACAATATTGAATTCAAAAAAATAAAACTAATGATCCCACTAATAAGCTGATTTAGCATGGATTGGAAATAATAGTTTAGCATCATTTTAACTCGAGGAGTACTACTGTTATCTACTATTATATTTATGCAAAAACATTACAGGTCGCTTGGATAACGCGAGCTGGAAATTCCGAATTAAGTGAACCAATTGCAATACGTCCAACTAGTGAAACGGTAATATATCCAAGTTATGCGAAATGGATTCAATCCTATCGTGATTTACCTCTTCGTTTGAATCAGTGGTGCAATGTTGTGGTATGCTTTTACTGTGATTTCCATTCTTTTGCTGAAATCTCTTGTTTCAATTCTGGCTAAAATTGATGGCATTACTATCCCTTCTAGCTTTGCGATGATTACTCATATTTTTTTCAGCAAATATTTTGTTATCTGTCATAGAATGACTTAGCTTGTAATCATTATCTGCAGTCATCTTCTGATATTCGTTTGTAGCTGTTCACGATAATTAAAGATCAGAAGACTTTCGCTGAAACCCAAATGATGTCAAATTTTGAATTTTATCATTTTCTGGCTGAGAACATTATATCCTTTCATTTTAGCGCTGGGAATTCAAGCATCCGACGCCATTTTTACGAACACGTGAATTTTTATGGCAAGAGGGACACACAGCTTTTCAGACGAAGCAAGAAGCTGAGAACGAAGTTTTTATAATTCTGGATTTATATGCGAAAGTTTATACAGATTTGCTTGCCATACCGGTAACAAAAGGTCGAAAGTCAGAAAAAGAAAAGTTTGCTGGTGGTGACTTTACAACTACCGTTGAAGCGTATGTCCCAGTTAATGGCCGAGGTATTCAGGTTCGTATAACTTCGGACTAAATGGGTTTTTGAAACTCCAAAGTTTATTAAATAATTTGCAAAAGGATGGCACTTTTTGTGTTGTTTTGGTTTCTTGCAGTTCCTATATGTTACAATCCTGTATTACTCCCTCAAACAATTGGTCTGTATAATAATTAGATTGTTCAGCAAGTTTGTTCCTTTCAGTGTTTCCCAGAGTAAAAAGTTATAAATCGTTAATTTCAAGTGAGATATGCTTTCAAGCAAATTTATCATTAAATTCGGAAATTGACATTGGATTGTAGGGCGCTACATCTCATCATCTTGGACAAAATTTCTCCAAAATGTTTGACATTTCGTTCGAGGATCCGGAATCTGGTGCGAAAACATTTGCATGGCAAAATAGCTGGGGTATGACGACAAGAACAATTGGGGCAATGATTATGATTCATAGTGATAACGATGGTCTTGTGCTACCTCCGAGAGTTGCACCTATCCAGGTTTCTATTTTTTTAAGTTGGTTTAATGTCTGCTGGGTAAATGGCATTCTAGAGGATTTACGTCGTATCAAAAATGTCATTCATTTATTAGATTATGGAATAAAGAAATAATGTATGTAAAGCTTTCTGGATATGAAGGATTGCGATCCTATTTCTAGGAATTATGATTGGTCAGTTAAAACTACACAAATTAATGAATACAATTGCATTGTTTTCTGTTGAAATTTGTAAACATACGTTGAATATGCTAGAATTCATTGTTCAAATAAAAGAACCCAAAATGAGAAAATACAGTTTTAGGTGATAATCATACCGGTTGGCATCACGTCGCAAATGGATAAGCAAATAAAGCAAGAAATATTCATAAAAGCGGAAGAAATCATGAGGATTCTTGAAAATTCCAGAATTCGGGTCGACACTGATTTGCGCGATAATTACTCACCTGGATGGAAGTTTAATCATTGGGAGTTGAAGGGTGTTCCGATTAGGCTTGAACTTGGGCCGAAGGATATTAAAAAATCTCAGGTACTGTCGTGTGATAGGAAGCATCGTAGTTAAGATCGGTTGGATGAATGCATTAAATGATAATCTAAAATAATAATGACAATCTAAAATGTAACTTTAATCTAAAATTTTGGAAGATCTCGATGTTGTTGATTTTATTTTCAGTTGATTGAAAAACATGATTTTTTTATCTCGAGGAATCCAACTAGTTTGGTGTATTATTTGGCGAATAATTTTACTTCCTAACAACTCAAGTTATTTTTGCTAAGTAATCATTTGCTTCGAACTGTTTCATTTGATATCCAAAATTTGTTTTCGCCGGCTACCCGTTCCTTCACACTCCTCACTTGAGCACATATACACACATATACACAGGTTTGCAGGTCACATGTGTTATTCGTTATAATAGGCAAAAATCAGTCATTCCGATCGATAGTTTATCAGCAAGGTGTTCTGAATTATTAGACGAGATACATACCAACATGTATGCAAAGTAAGTTCCTAAATGAAGATAGATATTTCCAAATGCTCATCTTTAGTTACATTCAAGAAGGCATATGGTAATCTTCAACTTTATGTTTTTCAGATTTTAGTTTCACACTTCAGTTTGGTTTGTTTTTTTTTCCGCAACATTTCATTCCATAAGTCAAGTTGATTGACTAATGATGAGAGGTGGAAATTGTAATTTGAAGTGCTTAACTTCATTTTACATTACAGTGTTTTCGGAGTATTGCAAAATTTATTTATCTTCAATGATCAGGAATCTTGAGCAAGGTAAAAGTAGAGTCTTTATAAGTAGCATAAATTCTTTTTTTAGCGAACATTTTTTCCAGCACGAAAAGGATATATGATCAACATCAGAAAATTACCACAAGTTGGTCGGAATTCAAAGAATTGCTAGACCAGAAATGTTTAATTTTGGCTGCATTCTGTGGCCTTCCACATTGTGAAGATAACATCAAAAAGGATAGTTCTAACGACGAATGCGGTGAAGCAGGGGCATCAGTGATGGGCGCTAAAACATTATGCATACCACTGGAACAGGTTCATATTACCTTTAATTAGTTATGTTTGATCAAGCGACTGATCAAGTAAAAATTATTTGTTACTGATATCTTCTCCTTTAAAAAAAAAAAAAATTAGTAGGTGATGGGAATAATGTCTCCTTCATTACATTACAAATGGAATACTTGCTTAATTAACTTCTAATGATGATATAATATTGCGAAAAAGAACAGATCGAATCTGATTGCTAATATTATGTTTTTTTAGCCTTCGGAAAAGTTACCAATGCAATGTATACATCCAAAGTGCAAGGAACAACCCGAATTTTACGCACTTTTTGGCCGCAGCTATTGACAAGACCTTATTCAACTTTTTCTACGTTTCATGAGAAAAGAATTAAGAAAATTGAGCTGCTTATTAATTTATAGGTATCAACATTTGCAGAACGAGGAAGGAGAGATTTATGCCTTATTACCCAGCTACCTAGTGCGCTTTGTTAAGCAATTATCCTACACAGTGTCGTGGAGGCTTACCGCTTAAATTGGTATTCACAAAATAGTCATATGATTTCCTTATCTCAGTCTTCCGTAGGTTCTTCAGTTGATATTGACATTATGATGTTTTCTCATCTAAAAAACATTTGTTCATTTTCATTTATTTCTCTGCCCTCTTTCCTCTTCTCTTCCTACCTGTTTTTTGCCCTTTCCCTCGACACAGATAATAATGTCAAAGCACTGTGGCCCTAAACTGAAGTACCATACTTACTATGCCATATAATTTGCTGGAGAAACAATACAAGTTTCTGAAAGTTTCTACACCTATTTTGAATTTAGGAATATTTTAAAATCATGCAAATTTTATACTGACTAGAACATATTTTATTATATCCTTCATGTTGATATTTATTCTGCGTATCAATCATCTTGTTATTGTTTATTGTCTGTTGCAAAATAAACAAAATGTAAAGTACCAAAAGAAACTTCAGTAGAGCATATTATTCATTTAATAAATGAATAACTCATGAAGATTACGAAACAAGCTCACGGGATCAAAGAGCGTGGAAAATGGAGTGAGTTTAAGCCTGAATGTAGCAATATTTAAACAGTGAGCTCACATTGCCGAAAAAATGGAATTACCATTCCAGGAAATATCTACTCAATGAAGGTGAGGAAAACAGTTAAACCAAAAATAGTTTGTTTCAAATGATTTAAAAAGCATTTTCCCGAGAAAATTTGATTTCAAATTGAAAAAACTGGAATCAATTTGAAAATTTGAAATTAAGTGTAAAATCACTTAATTTGGTAAATGAATGAATTGCTGCACAGCATCGATAATACATCTCGCTGAAATTCCGTATTTTTCAAGCAGAACGTCCGGTGGTCCAGAGTGTGGAACATCAAGAACGAACAGTGAACGAACATGAATATTCTTCTGGTCGGAAACAGCCTGGCATACGGCCTCACCAATGCCTGAAATTTTTAGTAAATCTAATAAAGAGGGATTTATTAATGTCTCTGACAAAACTTTACCAGACATTTGCCTTGGAATTACAGGACGAGACTATGCATTTGCAGTCCAGTCACCACCAAGAGGCCAGACATTTTGCCTTGGAATTACAGGACGAGACTATGCATTTGCAGTCCAGTCACCACCAAGAGG